AAAAAAATTATATGTCATACACAGAATTCTGATTTCTGACTGATAACACATTTCTCTACAGAGTCTAGTTCTAGCAATCAGTGTCGGCTAAATCAAATGTGCTACTTCTACGTAACCGCGTACTGAGCTTATATTGCAGGAAGAAGGATCAATGGCAGGAATAGCAGAGAGAGCTGCAGGGCAGGATGGAGGTGTAGTGACAGCTGTGTGTGGGGTCAGTACAGGAATAGCAGAGAGAGCTGCAGGGCAGGATGGAGGTGCAGTGACAGAGCTGTGTGTGGGGTCAGTACAGAAATAGCAAAGAGAGCTGCAGGGCAGGATGGAGGTGCAGTGACAGAGCTGTGTGTGGGGTCAGTACAGGAATAGCAGAGAGCTGCAGGGCAGGATGGAGGTGCAGTGACAGGGCTGTGTGTGTGTAGTCAGTACAGGAATAGCAGAGAGCTGCAGGGCAGGATGGAGGTGCAGTGACAGAGCTGTGTGTGGGGTCAGTACAGGAATAGCAGAGAGAGCTGCAGGGCAGGATGGAGGTGCAGTGACAGAGCTGTGTGTGGGGTCAGTACAGGAATAGCAGAGAGAGCTGCAGGGCAGGATGGAGGTGCAGTGACAGAGCTGTGTGTGGGGTCAGTACAGGAATAGCAGAGAGAGCTGCAGGGCAGGATGGAGGTGCAGTGACAGAGCTGTGTGTGGGGTCAGTACAGGAATAGCAGAGAGCTGCAGGGCAGGATGGAGGTGTAGTGACTGCATAGGAATGGTATATTAGTAGATAGTGCAGGTAGAGTGGATTATTGTCTATAATAAACAGTCACCCTTTTTATGCAGTATTAGTTTCTGTAAAGGGATTTTCTCTATTTATGTTGGTTTAATGTCTCCCCTGAGTTGTTAGGACAGTTCGTGTTTATTCCATTATACGCAGGACAGTATCCTTGGTGGATGGAGTTGATGTTCGTTTTCTAAGTTCAGTTTTTGGTGGGGAGAACAGACTCTGAAAATCTCAGGATTTCTGCCTTGTTCTCCCCTCGTTCTCCCCTCGTTCTCTCCATGCTGCTCCAGTCCATGTGAAGTTCAGAATTCCTTTTCACACATGTATCTATATGCACGAGAGCAATGGTCATCATTCCATAGACCGTTGCTATGAAGATGTGCACAGTCTTCT